GACAAGCACAAAGTGTTCCTCCACGTTTCGATAATCCCTGTTGCAGTTGCTAAAGGCTTTTACGCCCCTACTTTCCCCCAAGAGGTACCCAAACGGCGTCACACAGTGCTCTGGCCTGGGCGATGTGTCTAAATAAAAGATAAAAACAAAAAGAGTTAATAACATGATGGCAGAAAGCAACGCCGCCACCCACTCGTAATGGCAGTGCTCCTGTACCTTACGAAACACCGGGTGAAGTGGGGAGGAAACACGCTCCCAAAAGGGCATCTCATCCTGCCCCTCCCGCCGCAGCATCGGCTCCGTTTCCATCGGCCCTGGACGTGTCCGCAGCATCGGGGTGCACTCATTCGGCGGGGGTGCAGACAAATTCGACACCGTCACTGAAGGAGAGGCGTTCACGGCGGAGTTCATCGCCGGCGTCCCAACACTAATAAAAATCTATATCTATATGTATGTATGTATATTCCTGCCAGCAAAACAAAAAAAAAAAACCACATGCAGACAAGGAAAAGGGAAAAGAAAAGACAATATTAAATTCACCCATCCTCTCCGCCAATTTAATTCGTTCATACCCCTTTTTTGTTGTTGTTTGTTGTTTGTTTTTTCTCTGTTCTTTGAGAAAGAAAATTAAAAAAAAAAAAAAAAAGGAAATATAAATATACTAAAAAAAAAAAAAAAAACAGCATTCGCTTCCCGTTGCCAATCGAATCTCTCTGTTGTTCAAAAAGCTCACGGCATTGAAACAAGCATAGTCACTTCGCACACGTGGGGAAATAAAATTAAAGAAAAAGCTTCTTTTCGTGGAAGAGTCCCCCTTCTTCCGCTTTACAGCGCATGTCCTGCTACGTGGTGTACCTCATCCACCCGTCAATGATGATGTTTTCCTCCTCCGTAATGTTGTAGGCGTCATGGATGGGGCTGTACAGCATGCGAATTTCGCGGGAGTGGTTGTGGTACGGTCCGGGCCACATCTTGTTGTCCCAGTTCTGCTCTGCAACGAGAACAGAGTTCTTCGTCACACCGACAACGACGGCGACGTGTCCAAACGGAAAATCCTCCCGCTGACGCGGGTATATCAGCAGGTCGCCGGCACGCGGGGCGGAGCCGCCATCACGGCGTGGGAGGCCGTTGGGGTATTTAAGCAGCGGCGTTTTAGAGCCGTCAAGGAGCCGCACGAAGTTCAGTGCCCAAATGTCGGCAGCTCCGACCACTGAGTCAAACGTTGCACGCACGGGAGTTCCACGAAGCATCCAATACCGCCTTGCAAACTCCACACATTGCCATTCCAATCCGCTTCTGTTGGTGGTATTCCATCTGTTTTCATTATTATGATCACCATGAGCCAAAAGTGATGACATTGGATGCCACAAGTTAGAAGTGCAGGTCGAGGAGTTGCAGTTGCTGTAGCTCACTACACCATTTACAGTGCCAAGAATGGCCCCAAATGTCGTGTCACACCCCTTACGACATCCCTCTGGAAGGAAATCATCACCCGTTTTTGCCACGGAAGTTCTCGATTCTTTACTTCTTAAAGAAGTTGTAAGCAGAAATAACACCATGCACGTAATGAAACCCCATATACCAAGTGCAACAAAGAAGTGCGACAGTGAATAAAACCATGTTGGTAATCCCGTAAAAAACCAAGATTTTTTACTCGTTCGCATCCTTGCCCCATGAGGTAACATATTCCTGGTGCATGCCTCTTCTTTTAATTCTTCAAATATATCCTCAGAAAGTTCCACTCCCTCAATCATTTTTTCCCTTTTTTCCCCCTCTTCTTCCTCTTGTCGTCTTTGTTTTTGTTGTTTCGCTGGCGTGCTACGCTTTCTCATCCACCTCTCCCCGTGGCGCCTTAATACACACTCCTGGACGACGCAAAGAAGACCACACAAATAAATAAATAAAAGGACCAACCAAAAGAAGAAAAGAAAAAAAAAAGGTGCGTGATTCAAGCGACACATTACACAACAGAGAAAAAGAGAGAAAAAGGGAGGGAAAGAAAAAGGGGGTTAGTCGGCATTGCAGTGCACATGCGATCCCCACCTCTTCTTCTCCGGTTAATTCTGCGTGGGTTCATTTTTCCCCCCTTCCACACAAAAATCCCACATAATTTTTATTTTATTTTTACCTCCCCATCTTCACCACCCCTCACATCTTCCTTTTTTTTTTTTTTATATTTACTTTTTTTCTGTTTACAGCATGGCAGGCGCCAGTGGAAGCAGACATGCTTCTCTCCCACAAAAAAAAAATAAAATAAAATAACTATTTTGTTGTTGTTGTCTATTGCACCTCTCAAAATTCACCCAAATTTTTTTTTTTTTTAAATTCCCATTCAATCAATCAAAAAAAAAAAAAAAAAAGAGAGATCCAGACGTTAACGCATGGATAATAAAAGAAAAAAAAAAAAAAGGCAAGGGGACTGCACTCCATATAATAGTGTTGCCTCCATCATAATAGCAATGACGACAACAAAACCTAAAGCCCTGGAAGAGTACAATAAAACAACAAAAAAAGAAGAAGAAGAGAGAAGTAATCACTCATAACAACAATGAACATTTTTCCTTTTTTTTTTCTCTCTCTTTTCAATAAAAAAAAAAAGAAAAAAAAAACATCCCTGAAGAATCAACATTTGATGCGAATTGCTTCACGATCATGGTACACGTCACATAGGGCAGTGTATACATACCATACATACATACACGTTGCAATATATACATGCAGGCAGACCAATATGCATCGTTTACCGCTTGTTTCATTATTTACCATTCATCCCATCATTTTTACTCTCTTTCTTTCCGTTTTTTTTTTTTTTTCCTTCAAAAAAAAAAAAAAAAAAAAAAAAAACCGAAGGAAATTCTCACGTTTCCTCATTTCATGCATGTTATTTTTTGTTTACGGGGGATGTGCCGACTCCTTCTCTCTCATTTCTCTCCGCCGGGACTTTGCATCAAACGCGTCGTTTTATTATTATTTCCTTTTTTGTTTGTTTCCGTCTTTTTTTTTTTCTTCCTCTTTTTTTTTTTTTACGTGATTTCCCCCCCCTCTTCCCCCCCCCCTTCTGTTTTTCCCTGCCTTTTTTTATTATTATTTTTTGGGGGGGGGGGGG